ACAGTTAATAATAAATATTATTCTCAAATGTTTTTTTTTTCAAAAACTCACCGAAGAAAAGACCCATAACAAGACCAGCAACATGGCTACGTCTCCAGGCACCAAAGACACCACCAGCAGCAAAACCACCAATGAAGTAGTTTAGTCTGAAATGGAGGAGAAAAGTGCGTTGTTAAATAATCGAAAATATGAATGAACACAGGATGAATTACAAAATAAAATAGCTCATAATCATGTATGTGCAAAATCGTAGAGTCTTCTATACATAAAAGTAACTGCATGAGAAAAAATAAATCTCAGAGCCTTCTTCTTCTACATCGGATTGAAGCCCTTGGAAAAGGCGAGGTTCAGTTCAATACCTTCCATAAAGAATGGATGTTCTCGGGGTCTCTCATGTCGAACAGAATTGGTCTTATATAAGGTGTAGAAGTCCTATTATCCGTCTATAATGAATAGAAGACCTTCAAGACTTCTATAAGGTAATATAACATTGTTCTTCTTAAAGGAATATTATTATAACATATTTCTTAAGTAGTATAAGACTTATTGACAATCTATAAGGCCTATTTGTCTTTTATATGCAATATAGAAGACCTATTGGTCTTTTATGAGTTATAGAAGATATATTGATCTTCTATAACAGATGTAAGATTTATTGGTCTTCTCTAAGGTATACGACCTATTAGTCTTCACTATGGAATAAAAGCCCTATAAGTCTTATATAAGGAAAATATGTCCTATTGGCCTTCTCTAGGAATATAAGACCTATTTGTCTTCTCTTAGGAATGGAAGACCTATTGATCTTCAATGAGGTAAAAAAGACCTATTGGTCTACTATAAGAAATAGAAGACATATTGGTCTTATATAAGCAACAGAAACACTATTGGAATATAAGACCTATTGGTCTTCAATGTGGTAAAGAAGACCTATTGGTCCATTAGAAGAACTTATATTACTTATTGGTCTCCTATAAGGAATAGGTCTTCTACTCATTAAAGAAGACCTATGGGTCTTCTATTACGTATAAAACACAATGAGTTATATTTGTGTACGGAATAGAAGGCATAGAGGAGCTATTGACATAGAAGACCTATTCTATAAAAAATAAGAAATGACAGATTCATAAGAATAAAACCTAAGGGGTTTCTACACAGAATAGAATATCTCACGGCCTTTTAACGGAATATAGATGTTCTTGGAACTTCTGTAGGTCAAGTAGGTCAAGAAATCATCATCCTTCTATTCGTCTGGAAGGAAGGAAAAGTTCAAAGCTTTTTGATAAGCAGCTTTTGTTAAATGGACATCGGGTTGTAGCAGCCCTACTGATTTTACACAATGGGATATGACAAATGTTGATCAAGACTCGTGTTGTTTGAGATTGTAGATCCCTCTGTCATGGAAACGGGACGTCAGTGTTGTTGCCGTTGGAACCCCACCGGTTTTTCAATTTATCTCAGTCCATTGTGGACTTCGGTGTTTTTATTGTTGGTTCAAGAAACGTTGGAATGTGTCTTCTTATTGAGAGTGACACCATTCTGAAATACGTAACTTCCTATGAGCACTGCCAACGCACGACTCTATTGCTGAAGTTAATAAATTTTTTATTAACTCCTTTCCAGTTTCCATATTCTTTCACAGCTTCGTAACTTCCTATAAGTACTGTCAACGGACGAGTCTGTTGTTGAAGTTATTAAAATTTCCTAGTTTCCTGAGTCATTCACAATTTCACCTTCAACACCTTTCCAACTGCTTAAAGGCTTTAAAATATATTAATTAATTTTTTATTATTTGAACTTGTCCCCGGATTGTTGTCGAGCATACTCAGAAGGTTTCTTGACCGGTATATCACCAGGAACATTAAAAGATTTTACAGGTTAAATTCTATTTTCTCCAAAAACTTGATTTAATCATGATTTTTATCAAATCCATATTTGCTAATGAAATCCACTGTGCATATTGAATTTTGGATACTCTAATGTAAACTTCTCTCGGGTGTTATATGTTGGCTGTGAAATGACACATAATCAACATTTTCCTCCAAACTACAGGTTTCACAATAGGCTAATGGAACCGCTTTCATTCTCTCCAATATTAATTATCAAAATTCACTTCCATTTTTTTCCACTTACCTATCATCCTTGCCACGAACATTTGTCGACAAATATGTGGCCAATGTGAATGCCGAAGCCATGCCCATCATTGGACCGGTATTATAGGCAAAGCGAGCCAAAGTTGGCAAATAACCCTTGGGATGGGTCAACATCAACACATCAACGGTGGACCAAGCCAAACCGGCTGTGGCGGCATAAGTGTTGGTCGCAACCATTTTGCCAAACAAGTCTTGACCCTCGGGTTTATCATAGTAGCCGGTCTTTGACAGAGCCATTTTGACTGCAAAAGAAAAAAATAAATATTTAACAATAATATATAACAAAATTAATATATATAACATTTGTTGAATTGGTTCTTCGTTTCCACAATCTACCAATTGCCATGTAGTGAGGATGATCATTGTTTGCAAAAGTCTATGTTGGTTTATGTCCCAATCACCAAATTATTTGAAAGCCATAAATCAATCACAGGTGTCATTATTTTATATTTTTGATTATGAATTGTCGTTTTTCTGCCATATTTATTTAAATATTTAACAAAAATCACTAACCTGCTGCTAATTTTACGTAATTTCGTACAAAACAGTAATTTAGCCAATTGTCAAAATGACAATCCAACACAGCTGTTGCAGGATTGCAATTTGGCAGCACTTTTCGGCCAAACAATGTTGTTGAGGCAATGCTGTGCAAATGTTGACAGTTAGTGGAGACGTATGGCAAAGCATTAAATGGTTGTGATCGAAAATTTAAAGAATACTCAATTTCAATGAGGATTTGAAGCAAATTTAGATAATGAATGAAGGGCTAAACAGAATGTTCGCGTTGAGCGTTTTTTGTTATCGCGTTAACGCACGCAAAAAGTTAAAATATATTTAACTCCGAAGCTCAGCGCACAACAACTTCGAGCGTTTGTGTTATCGTTTCCTTGTGGTTGTTGTATTTTCGATAACACATAACGCAACGGATGGCTCAACGCGAGCATTCTGCTTAGCCCTTGAGTTTATAATGCATTTGCATCAATGTTGAATAGAACAAAATCGTGAGTAGATGTGTGAGAGCATAAAACGGCATTAAAACTTTTTACCGAGTTGACCTACTCTATGAGGATTTATTTGACAGGTACACAATGAAAGTGACAATTGAAACCCACTGGGTTAACGAAATCCGGTACAATGTAAACATACTATAACTGAGAGATCAACATTAAAAAATACAGACGAAAAGAGAAAAAAGAGACTACGTGTCTAGCTATAGGCACGTTTAGCTTTACGAAATCCACTCGATCTTAAATGAGACCACCTTTATATTTTGCCATGGTTTTGCTGTAATCAGTATCAACTATAAAAAAAACAAACATATAGATGGTGTCCGTACTTCCAGCTGTAAGTGGTTTGTGTCATTAATCACATTTAAAACGTCTAATTTATTACATGTAGTCGTTACCGCCGTACATAGTCGATAATGAATTTGTCATCGATTACTCGACATTTCTAGTAGACTCAAGAACCAACATAGCTTTAATAATTTTTAACATATCGACAATTATATCAAAGCCTTGAACCTGTCTCGTGTAGTGTCGTTGATAATTTGGCCGTATTTACACAGTTAAGCCGTTTTTCTTCATTATGTCAAAATTTTCGACGAAGCGAAATATGTATATTTTGCTTCAACTAAGGCGAATTGAGGAAAATTAACATCAAGGTTTATTTATAAGAATTAACAGGGAGGCGAATTCGAAGTCTTCATTGACCACGATCCAAGGTATATTTAATAAGGTAACCGCATCGGCCCAGCTGTTGGACAAACAAATGTCAAAAATGTTGTTGTAATGTTGAACCAAAAAATTAAAAAACAAAATTATAAATGAAAATCTCCGAATTTCGAAGAGCTTGATTGGCAATACATTTATTAACATTTTCTACAAGAATTTGTGTAAAAAAATCTTGTCAATCTGTTTGTTTTGGCAAAATATTTTTGACATATCAAAATACAACAACCGATGTTTGTTGTAGAAATTCGCCGATGCGGCTACCTTGTGTATCTACCTTGACTGTCAATTTTATTGTTTCAAGAATTAATAAACAAAAAATATTTTTGCACAATACTGTAATTTTTTTAAATATTGTTTTTTTTAATATAGATTAATATGTTGACAGCAAGAGAAGAATAAGCCATGAATTCGCCACCCGGGAGACCTTATTTAATAGGCCATGATCCACCTTTTGTAATTTTCTCAACTATAATCCGTACCCTGTCAAGTTAAATAAAGACCATAAATTCATTGAATTTTTTGTTATTTCATAATTTTCTTATTTTTGTCATAATTTATTAAAATCTAAAATATTTTATTTGTTTTTTAATTTATTCATTTCAAATTACACATACATACAATTAAAACAAATACAATTGCAGCAAATGTAGTATTGATGAATTCACAAAAAAAGGAAGAGGGACACAATTATTAGAGAATATAATTACTATTGTTTCTGTTTTGGTTTTTTTTTTTATAAAATTTGTATTTTTAATTCGTAATGAATACTAAAAAATATATATTTTTGGCATACAATTAATTATTTTCTTTTAGAAATAATTTAAGGGTCGATAGATTGAAAATTTTTACGATATATTTTATTTTGAGCATACACAGTGTCTGATGGAAACAAAAACAAATGAAATGAAATAAAATAATAATTGTACTACAAACTAGCCGAAAAAATGCATAGAAACATGATACAATTAAAATAATAAACATGGGAAACTTGGTAGCACTTTTCATTTGGTTAAAGGCAATCCTTTAAGATTTACGTGTGGCAAATGAATGGTAACACATTTTTTTCATTTGTAATACTAAAAAGAAAATATTTCCCGCAAGTTTACCATATTAATTGTACCATGCATATTATATCTTTGCAAAAAATTGAAAAAATTAACAAAATATAACAATATAAAAACAGAGTTAAAATTTTTGGCAACGTTTACACAAGTTCCTTATAACGGAAGTACTGGATATATATGCTTTTCATTTGCTACTAATAAAAAAATGTGTGTCACAGTATTATAAAAACAAATTAGGAGGCCAACATAATTATTTTTTTGTTTTGCAATTAATTTCATAAATCAGTCATTATGTTATTTAAATCGTTTCATGTTCTCTTTTTTCTATGATAATTTTCTCATAACATTATTATGTCCAGGGTTCAACTTTTACGTTTATTATATTTTTTCATGTCACACATTTTCAATCCAATGTTAAGTGGTATTTCTCTTTTTAGTTGAGGTCATGTTCAATTATTTCAATATCATCAGCCAAGGGACTTTCTACTTCGGGACTTGTAGGTTTCTTCAAATCAGCTTTATTATCCAGATTAATTAGCGATAATGTCATTTTACTACTCAATATAACCTAAAAAGGAGGAATGATTATATATTTTTTTCATTAAATATTAATTCTTGTATTATTATTGCTTACAGCTGGTTCTTCTTCAGATCCATTAAGTTCAGCATCATAAACTTCTTCCTGCTTGATTTCCGAATCGGAAACCAAAATCTGGGAATCGTGAGCCAAAGAGCCTTCCAAATAAATTGATTGTGGTTCTGGCTTATCATCTTCAGATTTGGACTGAAATAAAAGAGAATAACATTTATTTTCATAACCTAAACTAGAAACCAAAATACTGTGTTGTCTAAACAGTGTCTAAGATGCCTAATAAAAACAAATGGTTTGTTCCCATACTGCAACACGTTTTTCCTTTATGATATCGAAAAAAAAAAATAGTAAAAAACTCGTAGATTCTTGCAGTACAGGAAAAGACCAAAAAATTCAGATTATAAAACTCACATGTTCGTGATGGTGTGACAGTACCGGAGTTGGAGGACGACCAGACCATTTATGGCCTCCCTCACAACTGGCGGTTACTTCCATTCCAAGAACCTTTAAATCAAAATAAATAAAAACAAAATAAAATGAAATAAAAATTAAAATAAATAAAACTATACAAATAAACAGGTCCTTAAGTTCGGTCAGGCAAAAAATTTTTATTATCCTCTACGAAGAGATTGGTATTACACATATTAAAAATCGTTAAACCTATACTATGTCATTGGTTCTTCGAGCTAAATTAGAGATCAATATTGGATAAACAATGTGTCTTAACTAGTAGGACATGCCAGAACTTTCGTTCAATAAGCCGAGCCTAAAAAGATTTCCAGCCGCATCGGTCTTTTTGCGCAGTTTTTCCAATTCGGCAATGTTGTCTTCCACTCGATATTTTCATATAATTCGTGGCCTTCCCCTTCTGCCTGAGCCATCAGTTGACTCGCTTTTATATGGTATAATTATGTGAATGGTATACTTTTAGTTCCAAATCCCTCATACTGTCAATTTTTTTGTTTACGTTTTCATACGATTAAGTCAAAATTGAAATCATTTTGACAGTTCCGGTTAAATCATCTGATCTTATCAGGTGACCTTCTTATTGGGCCATACGCCACTGTGTTCATTTATTTCTTTTCTGTTAACTTGGCATCACTGTTGTTAACAATACAATAATGATGCAATAATAAGGAGATAATCGAGACAAAAGCAAAATTTTTCCTTATAATATTTCAAATGGTTGGCAGCACTGCACATCGAATTCAAGTAGAAATTACCCACGTTGACAGTTAATCGAGACATCAGCTGCGCTAAATGGACTACCCATGGCACAATGAATAGGTAGTCCATTTAGAGCAGCTGATGTCTTGATTAACTGTCAAAGTGGTAAATTTTACTTGAATTCGATGTGCAATGCTGCCAAATTTTTGATACATCACCTTATTATTGCATCATGGGACTACCTATTCATTGTGCCATGGTACGGGTGAAATCATCTGATCTTATCGGACGACCTTCTTATTGGACCATGTATCACTGTGTTCAATTATTATTTTTCTGTTAACTTGGCATCACTGTTGTTGACGCTAACTACCAGTTCACACAGACCAATATCTTTGACAATAAAATATTATAAATTGTTAAAAAAAATACTCACCGAAACTGTACGATCAGCACTTCCGTCTCTCTTTTTACGTTTATCATCCGTTGCCTGCTCCGTTTTTTTCAACTCTGTTTCTTTTTCTACTTTACTATCGTCACCAGATGTGGTCTCAGGAATATTTGCATGCCCATTGGAAATGTTTTCTTTTTGTTGTTGCTGTTGGTTCGTGGTCGAATTTTCGTTGGAGTTTTTCTATGTTACAGGGATAATTGAAAACAGTTTGTTAAAATTGAGTTACACACAAAAAATCCGAAAACAACATAAAACACAAAATTTGTTAAAAATGTTTACAAAAAACTAGAAATATTAATTTGTTATAGAAAAGAAAGTGTAACACAAACAAAAATTATTAGTTTTTGTTGTATTTTTTAATAAAAATTATTGTTATCAAAAATCAAAATACAAAATTCGTATTAGTAGTGTTATTCAGCAGCGTGGAGTGGATTAAGAGGCATGTTTGTTTTTTTTTTTGGGGTTTTTCACATTTTTGTACATCTATCTGCAAAATCATTTCAAAATCTAAGCGCTAACCTTGTTTGGATCGGTGTTGGCGTTGGTCGAAGTCTCTCGTAATTTTAATTCTTCGTCAGCAGCATCAATTAAACCTTGTATAGCTGTTACTACTACGTTACGTAAAGTTTTTGAATGGTTTATGGGATTTTTTGTTTTGTTTGTTTGTTTTCATCATAAAATTGGGGTTTTATCGAGAAATGTATGAAAAATACAATATCAAATTATTGATTTTTTTTTCTTTTATTTTTTGTTTTTTTTTTTTATAAGGGTTTTTAATGAATGTTTATGGGCTCTTGGAATGAAATTGAACGACAAGAAATGCTCCTGTTTATGTGACAACATAACATGATACAATAAAAGTGTAGGAAATCTTTAGACGCATTCATACTAAAGTTTTTATCGTGATTCAATAGCTAAATCGAGACAAATTTACCTCGTTTTATCGTACATAATTAATGCCATGTTATGACGGGCATTCGAACAACGTAGTTCACTCTCAGAATTACGTACACGAATTAACCCGTTTATACAACACTATTCTTAATTCCTGTCATCAGATTTTTTTTATTTCAAACTTTTTGTTTCTTGTTTTACACCAAAATTGTAACATATGTGCGTGAATCACATATGGATCTAAATAGAAAAAATAATTCTCTTTCTCCTGACTATAATATCAACCCCTATCTCTTTACTTTTAATTCATGTTTTCCATTTTTCCTGAAAATATTGTTGTTTTCAATAAATTTTTTTATTTTCTCACCTCAAATGTCACATTCAAAAAATTGGAGAATTTTTGTTTGGGTTTCCCCACTTTTGTCTCTCGCTTTGTACGCTAATTAGAACAAAGAGAAAAGAAATGCATATTGCATCATATAGACAACAAAATTTACATCCTTCTGCATATATAAAAACTAGAATTTTGTTTACTTTTCATTCATCATTTTCATTTTTACTCATGGTACAATTATAAAAGGTAACAGCAAATCCCAGCTGATTTGATTCCAACGTAATACTAGTGTCAATATAAATTTGACAAATTATGTTTTTAAAAATCACCCAACAGGAAAATTGGGAACGCATACAATTTGAAATTGTTCTTTATTAATGTGCTCCCGTATTCAATTTACTCAATCTGCCTGCTGGGAAAGTTTGAGGAAGTAAATCTTTCTTGAAGGAATTACTCGCTATTCCCAGCATTGTCATATGTGTTACACACATATATGGCAATGGCTCAATTAAAGGAAAGGTGTGGAAGCGATAGAAATATAAATTTGATAGATTTTCATTCATGTTTTTCAATTTTTATTTTGAGGATTCGAAAATATTCCATTTTCAAAATAAAAATAATTTGATGATAATTTGTTTGTTTGTTTACATTTTTCTGTCAAATGAGTTGACACTAGTAGAACTTACAACAACAAATTTCCATGTGGTTGTTGTATCGTTTTTTGTACAACAACACTTGCTGTTACCTTTTATTATTATACCATGATTTTTACTGAAAAAGTTTGAAAATTTTAAAATTTTTGTCATGCTGTCAAAATTAATTTATTTTCGATAAATTCTCTCAATTGTTAGAGATGGGACAAAATTATTGGTGATTCAGAGAGTGATTCGAATTGAACAACGTACAAAATTAGGTGTTCGCTCAGACAATTTTGTATTGGGAACTAAGTATTACTTCATAATTAAGGGTCGAACAACGAATGAGAGAGCGAACAACGCTCGTCTGTACATAGCATAAATCAGTGTTGGGCAAAATTAAATTGAGAGCAAGTGTGTGCGAGCGTAACTGAGAATTCACCATTAAAAACGACTGACGTAAAGAGAAAAAAAGAGAAAATGTGTTTACCCATCGACCCTCAGTTACGGTAGCGTATATGGGTAAGCATGCCTGGCATAAATCAACTCAAATCATATTCCAAATCAAGAGAATTTCAAATACAACCCTGCATTTGCACCAAAAAAAAGTTCATCAATTCTCCTAAAAAATTCTAAAAAATTCTCCTACGTTAAAATTCCCAAGAGTTTCCCAACAAAACTATGGCAGCTGCTAAAAAATTTAAATCTTTTTTTCATTTCTAATGAATATTACATATTTTTACAAATTTTTGACCTAATGGATTGAGAAACAGCCACAGAAACGCTGAAATCATAGAAATGTGTATGTATACGTAAACAAATAACAGCTGACACATCAACTTTTTACTCGAAAACCGTTCCTGAACCCACAAATGTGGCAAAACATTGAACCATATTTAAAAGAACAAAAAACACAATGACATTCTCTTTGTAAACATTTTACTCGAAAAATTTGTCCGAGTAAAAATGTCAAATAGGACTGCCAGCTTCTGATTGGCTGTTTTGTTGATTTTGATGGAAAATAGTATCCTTTATCGAAATTGTACTGCTAAAATGTGTTGCAGCCTTTTAAATTACAGCCACTTACCGGAATTGGAAAACTATTAAATACCTACAGATGAAGAAGTTCCTAAATATATGGGACTATGTTCAAACATGGACTTCTATTGACAACTTCTTGCAAAGAATTCTGTCGCCCTCCAACAATCTGGAATGCCTTATTGTTCCCGTTTCGGTTGTAAAAACCCTCCAAAATCAAAATAAGCCAAAACGATGGGCTTATATATTCAATTTGTAATAAAAATCATCCTAATAGTAAATTTACATTTTACCGGATTTTGTTAACCCAGTGGGTTTAAATTGCCAATTCCATTGTATATATGTCAAATAAATCCTCATGAAGTAGCTAACCCGCTAAAAAATTCTAATTGCAATGTGTGCACAATTTCATCAGGGAACAAAATTTATAACAATAAAAAGCCGGCACAGTTTACAAATCAGCTGTTATTTTCTTTTGTTTGCTCCTACAAAAATATTGTAAGAGCAAATAAATGTTTGCCCGAAAAACAACAAATATTGGCCACATTGCTGCTGTCAATTAATTTCGTTTTCCCAATATCAGCTGTTTTTGTGTTTGTCATTGAAATATTTTGTGGTCAGATTATGGCAAAAAAATATTTGACACTTTTCGTCAAATATTTTCCTAATGTGACCTTACCTTAACACTATACACATTATTTTCTAACCTATGATTTACACAGGACATTAATGTGCAAACAAATACAACCCTGTTATATCAATTCATTTCCACTCATTATAAAAACTCACTTAAAAATTCATTCAAATGATCATCGCCCTTACAGGCAAAATTAAATAATCTTTTTTTAATCTTAAAATATTTATCAATTGGTATTTATAGTAATACAACAAAAAACATTTCAATTCCCGACTTTACTTCCAGCTGATTACTAAAACATCTATTTTCCTCAACAATTTCCTTAAGCTGTTGTTACACGAACTATCGGAGCCAGTTTTTCTGTAGTTGGTACTTTAATACATCTTTTTCTTGTTGAGTTCAGGCATTTTAATTTTTTCTTTCCATCGGTTTAACGTCTTCTAAAAATGTATTTTATTTTACCAAATAAATCAAAACAGTTGATTTATTTGAAGATACACACGAAAGTAGTGAAACATTGATGGCTCGTGTAACAAAAGTTTTAGCAAACCTCAGCTGATATCCATTTTAAATTATTTCAATGTAGATATAAATGGTCTTAATTAAAAAAGAAGATTTTTTTTAATGTTTATATAAACATAGTCTAAATTCACGTTTACTCAGATGTATTCGTGTTAAAACAGGTTAACCTTCTTTAATAGGATTTTTTGGCATATGTATAGGCATTGAAGGTGACAATTTAAACTAACTGGAATTATTTTATTCAGTACAGTGTAAATTTACTATTAACTGTCAAAGTACATAGTTTCTACTTGAATTCGACGTGTTGCCAACCATGAGAAATATTACTAAATAACTTTTGTTGCCAACCATGAGAAATATTACTAAATAATTTTTGACAGATGGTCGGATAAAAGCAGATTTTTTGATTTTGATACATCACCTTATTATTGAATCATGGTTTCTACCATAGCACAATGAATAGGTAGTCCATTTAGCGCAGCTGATGTCTTGATTAACTGTCAAAGTGGGTAATTTCTACTTGAATTCGTTGTGCAGTGTTGCCAACCATTTGAAATATTATATGGAAAAATTCGACAGATAATCGAGACAAAAACAGAGATTGTTGTTGTGATACATCACCTTATTATTGCATTATGGTTTCTACCATGGTACAATAAATAGGTAGTCCATTTAGCGTAGCTGATAACTTGATTAACTGTCAAAGTGCGTAATGAAATCGATGCCCAATGTTGCCAACCATGTGAAATATTATATGGAAAAAATTGACAGATGGTCGAGACAAAAACAAATATTTTTGTTTTGATACGTCACCTTATTATTGCATCATGGATTCGACTTGAAATCGACGTATAATGTTGCCAATCGTGAGAAATATTACTAGATAAAATTTGACAGATGGTCGAGTAAAAAACAGATTTTTTTTGAACAACAAAATGAAAAAATGCAAGCACGTTTAGATTTATGAAAAAAAAAAAATTATTTCAAATGTCAAGTCCATAGCATATACGTCAAATATAACCCACTGAATAAACACAATGACATTTAAAATACTTCGATTTGATAAATCTAAACGCACTTTAAAACATTTATATATCGGTCGTTATTTCAACCCAAGAGCCATTTAAACTATATGAAAAAAATGAATTTGTGGATGAATAAAATAAATAAAAAGTTGATTCAGTAATGTTGCACATAAAAATAATCTCTGAACAGAGAGCGAGAGAGAGTGAAAAGTAAAACAAATCATTTTTAGAAATATGTCCCCACTTGTTTTATTTTTTTTTTTTTGTTTTTCGCAAAAGGAAATGAATGCTGCTGTTCAATAATTTATGAGGAAAAAATATATATGGTGTTAGTATGACACTACGATGCTACATTTGGCTCTCACTGTGATTAGTCAAGACGTTACGTTAGTGTAGACTATACGTTACGTCTGGCTTAATCAACATGCAAAATTATTGGGAGCACTTAAAATTTGCAATTAATTTTTGGAAAAACGAAGAGAATTTATTAAAGAGATTTAAAAGAGAGAGATAGAGAGACAAAGTACTAAACGAGAGAGAGTGAGCTATATAGATACTGTGAGTAAATACTTGTATGTAGTATTTCTTTGTTATTTACTCAAACATGCCAAACAAGACAAAATGGATTTTTTTCATGGATAATTTGAAAAAAAAAGTTGGTCAGTTTTATTTATTTATTTTTTTTGTTTGGGAAATCTCATATTAAAAACATGGGCATACACAAGCCATTATTTGTTAGTAATTGACCTTGTTCGAATAAACATTTGTTTACATTTATTTTTTTATTATGTATGAAATTGAATGGATTTTATTTTTCGTTTTATTTTTCTCTGCAAAAAATATTTTTCATTCATGCCAAAATTCTAATGAGGTTTTGTGAATTGATAGAAGTTGTTAGTAGTTTTGGGGGGGGAAACTTAGGAATCAGTCCATATTATTTACTCTAAATTCTAAATAAATAAGAAAATTGAAAACAAAATTGCAATAATACTTATGATTCAATTGATAAAGATGAGTGTTTTTCGAATTGTTTAATTGTTTTTGGTTTATTTTTTCTTAAGAATGGAATTGCTGACGTTTTAGAAAATTTATGGCAACCATCTTGAAATATATGAAATAAAACAAAATACTCAGGGTGAATAAATATTGGAAAAACAATTGATGTTTTAAAGAGTATGCACTATGGTATTTTGATATGAGTAAATGGTGGTTGATTTAATGGGTTGGTATGTAGTTTTTGTTTGTTTTCTTTTTGGAAAATAATTTAGTTTATAGGATATTGTGATATTCTCCGGTATCTGACTATGTAAATTAATGTGATTATATATGAATATATCATATTATTTATATTTACGTTAAATTAAATTTCTACAAATTACGAAATAAAAATAGGTTAACTATTTTAAAATTCTGTATAAGTATATTTAAAAGAGTGATTCTTTATATATTTTAACTAATCTTGTTCGTTACATTTGTTCATAGTTATTTGTTTTTAATAGCTCACATATAAAAAATGTTTACATACTCTGAAAAATTCGTCCATATTTTGTCAATTGATATCCTGATTATGATTTGAATAGCATTGGATAGTAATTACACTTCAATTGTACTTATATCAGTGTCAAAAACCATTGAAAATTTATCTATAACGACTGACCTAGTTCATGTGCTCTTTTTAGTGAATCACATTTAATGAATCACATTTACACCAAACATGTTTTACGGAAATCCTCATTTATTTGACATATAAAAATTACACAGATATGCTAAAACTAAATTGTGAATTTTTCAAATTTTGAACACGAAATATTCTTGGCTCTGAAATTTATCGTGCAGTGGATTAATTGAACTATGTGGACTGACCTAGTTCCTACGAACGTTTCGGTGAATCGATCAAAAGAACTAGTTCCTTCATGAATTACATAGCATAATCACGGTCAAGATCTATTCACAAGGACACAATATCTATTAATAAGGTCACCAAGATAGCAATCGAAATCGGAAAACAGCTGTTTTTTCTCAAGTCTAATGTCAAAAATGTCGACTTTGTTTACGTTTTCATAATGGAAGTCAATTCACAATAATGCATTTTGACAGCAAACTTGAGAGGTATCGATTATCAGCTGGTCTCCCTTGGTGACCTTATTTATAGGCCATGCAAGGACACCCAGTAAGCGAAAGTCAGCTGTTATCTCAAGTCTAACGTCAAAAATTTGGACTTTGTTACATTTTAATAATGGACGTCAATTCACAGTTATGGATTTTGACAACAAACATGAGAAACAGTTGATATCCAGCTGGTCTCCCTTGATCACGATGTAACAAGAAGTATGTGAAATGGAATAGTTCCTATTTTCCGAAAATTAATTATATTGAATCTTATGTATGAGCTATATTGAACACTTTTTTATATGTGTCTTAGGAAGAAAACACAGTGGAATAAATGATCCATCCAGAATCACTAAAAACATAAATGTTCGTTCAGCCACTATTTGGCGCCCAATGAAACTATCATTAAGGTCACCCAGCAAGCTGTTTTTTTTTTCATGTCTAATGTCACCAATTTGGACAATATTTACGTCTTCATAATGGAAGTCAATTCATTATGTTACTATTAATAGGTAGTCCATTTAGCGCAGCTGACTATTCGTTTTAGTGTCAAAGTGCGAAGTTTCTTCTTGAATTCGATGTGCAATATTGCAAATTATGAAAAATATTAGCAAAAAAATTTTGACAGTTGGTCGGGTAAAAAACAAATGTTTTTGTTTTGAAAAATCTTATTATTGCACCATGTCAATTCACAATAATGTAATTTGACAGTAAACTTGAGAAGCAGCTGATATTTAGATGGTCTCCCTGGATAACCTTATTAATAAGCCTTGATCATTGGTCCATATTAACAGTTGTTGACAGGAAATCGCCATAACCGAATGAACCAAAAAAATTGGAATGCATGCCAACTAATGTAAACGGATATTCATATGATCAACTGTTTACATGATCAACTCCTTGCTTCATCATCTGTTTAAATGATCAGTTGTTTGCTTCATAGTATGTTTACATAATGTAATGACATTGATTTTTTAAAGAATATTTTTCCAAGACTTAAAATAGGAACGAATTATTTTAAACAATTTTTTCAGGATCTAAGCTTGACGTGGATTTTTAAAGACTACTTTTTAAAGGATTAATTTAAGTCATGAATTGGATGCAGAGACTTGAATACAAGGCGTGGGTTTTATAAATAATACTTTTTAAAGGACCAATTTAAGGCCGTGAAATGGATGTGAAGACATGAAGACAAGCTGTGAGTTTTAGAAATAATATTTCTTCAAGAACTCACAATGAATGATTCATATGTTTTTTCGATCGCCATAGCCGAACGAACCAAACATGCGTAGACCATGTCTACACCTAAATCCATACCAAATATTGAATGTTGTAAAATATAATAATGTAAACAGCTGTGCATATGATCAGCTGTTTATTTAAACAACACCCTGCTTTATCAGCTGTTATCTTCATATCATGTGTTTACTTAATGTAATGACGTGGATTTTTTAAAGAATATTTTTTAAGAACTTAAAAAAAAATATTTTTTTCAGGGCCAACTATTGGTTTGGAATTTTAAAGAATAATATTTATACGACCCATTTAATTCATGAATTGGATGTGGACACTTGAAGACAAGTGGTGGATTTTATAAAGAATATGTTTTAAGAACTCAGACGGGACGTGATTTTTAAAGTATATATTTTCGAGGACCAAACACGGAATTTATATTTTTTATAATTTTTTATATTATTTTTAATATATATATATTTTTTCAAGGCCTAAAATAGACGTGGATTTTCAAAGAATAGTTTTTTAAGAACCAACACGAGGAGTTGTTTTTAAACATATTTTTGACGCCTAAATTAGACTATGATTTTCCAAGGACCAATATTTTTCCAAGGACCAATTAAAAATGTATGTGAAGATTGTCTTCTTTTCCGCGTCAAAAAATTTAAATAAACAATTCTTGCAATCAAATTATAAAATAAAATTATGAAAACAACTGCTCATTTGAAAAGCTGTTTATTTGATCAACCTCTTGCTGCATCAGCTGTTAACGTGGTCAGCTGTTAACGCCATCAGCTGTTAACGTAATCAGCTGTTTACTTAATCATATGTAATGTAATGATTGTGTCCTCGTAGTGTAAACATGTATATGTATGAGTGGGTGTTTGTGTGTGTGGATAATTCTTAAAAAGAATGATACTTTAAAACTTAAAAAAAAAATTAACTAAATGAATAGAAAAACATATGTTGAATGGAAAATGAAAACCTTTTTAGCCAAATCTAACCTTAGCTTCATATTGATCGGAATTCATTTCGGCAATTAACTTGGCCATTGCCCTTTCGGTATCCTCCAATTTTTTACGCAATTTTTCAATTTCCATCAATTTATCCGTATCCTTTGAGGCGGCAGAGATTTGTTGTTGCAACTGCTGTGGTGGTGGTACAATTTGATGTTGTTGTTTTAGCGAAGATGATAGGTTAGTGGCAGCTGCCTGGGCCGATAGGGTGGCATTATATAAATCACTGGCCTTAGTACGTTGAAGTTGTTGATCGGGATATTTAGTTCCTAGAAATTTTGTATTAATTTTTAGGGTAGATTTGTTGTTGTTTTTTTATCTATGTATGGGGGTTTTCAAAAACAAACACTAAACTATTTTTTGTTTTGTTTTAAATTGTAACAGCAAATAACAAAAAATGGTGGATGTGAAAACAGAAAATTAGGGTAATTGATGAATATGATGGCAAATGGTTTGAATGGTGGATGGGTTAACTAATGACAACATTTATTATACTAAGAATAATAGAATTTATTATTTTATATAGAAAAATAATAGGATATCAAGGACACCAAATATTTATGTACACAAAACCCAAATCAAAATTAATTGGCTTAAGAGGTTACTCAAAGAAAACATTAAAAGCAGCTTTTGTTTTGAAATTTCAAAAGATTTCATTTTTTTGTTTTGTTTGTATAAACCGGAGGACATATTCTAAAAAATGTTTGCCATAAAGAACAACAACAACGTCTAATGAAAATTAAAAAAACAATAAATTATGAATATCAGAACCAACATAAGAAGATATTACAATAAATTTCAAGATCTCTACAGAAATATATTTTTTAAATTATTAAAAAAAATCTGAATGAGAAAAACGAACTCTTAACGAAATTATCTTACTTGTTTGATGTTCTCGCCATCCTGTTTCACAGCAGGATCACAGGATAATGATGTTCAAAATGTAGGCATTCATAATTTTTTAATTGAATGAATACACAAAAAATAGGGAAATATATTTTTTTCGGATATTAAATATTTAAGCTAAGTTCATATGTAGCATGTAAATGTTTGACGATATATTGTACAACAAACTAATACAAAGGAATCCTGATAATATATTTCTAAAAAAAATCTCTTTTGTTTGGAACTAGTTGCCACTTACCCAATTTCGATCCGTTCAAATCCTCAACATGTCTACCATTTTCATGACCGAATACATCTTTTCGGAAATTGGGATCCGAAGGTGCCGGGCCATAGGGTGCATTTGGTACTGGCTTCTTGAAGACTATCTAAACTCCAAACAAATTTAAAAAGAAGAAGAAAAATATTTGAGGTTAGAATTATATTAACAAATAAAATAGACATGGATTTTTAAGGAACATTTTCTTCAAGGACTAGAATAGGCGGGAAATTTTTAAAGAATATTTTTTCAAGGGTCAGACAAGGCGTGGATTTTTTAAAGACTATTTTTCAAGGGTCAGACAAGGCGTGGATTTTTTAAAGACTATTTTTCAAGGCCTATCCAAGGCGTGGATTTTTTAAAGACTATTTTTCAAGGCCTATCCAAGGCGTGGATTTTTTAAAGACTATTTTTCAAGGCCTATCCAAGGCGTGGATTTTTTAAAGACTATTTTTCAAGGCCTATCCAAGGCGTGGATTTTTTAAAGACTATTTTTCAAGGAATATCCAAGGCGTGGATTTTTTAAAGACTATTTTTCAAGGCCTATCCAAGGCGTGGATTTTTTAAAGACTATTTTTCAAGGCCTATCCAAGGCGTGGATTTTTTAAACTCTATTTTTCAAGGCCTATCCAAGGCGTGGATTTTTTAAAGACTATTTTTCAAGGCCTATCCAAGGCGTGGATTTTTTAAAGACTATTTTTCAAGGCCTATCCAAGGCGTAGATTTTTTAAAGACTATTTTTCAAGGCCTATCAAAGGCGTAGATTTTTTAAAGACTATTTTTCAAGGCCTAGCCAAGGCGTAGATTTTTTAAAGACTATTTTTCAAGGCCTAGCCAAGGCGTAGATTTTTTAAAGACTATTTTTCAAGGCCTAGCCAAGGCGTAGATTTTTTAAAGACTATTTTTCAAGGCCTAGCCAAGGCGTAGATTTTTTAAAGACTATTTTTCAAGGCCTAGCCAAGGCGTAGATTTTTTAAAGACTATTTTTCAAGGCCTAGCCAAGGCGTAGATTTTTTAAAGACTATTTTTCATGGCCTAGCCAAGGCGTAGATTTTTTAAAGACTATTTTTCAAAGCCTAGCCAAGGCGTAGATTTTTTAAAGGCTATTTTTCAAAGCCTAGCCAAGGCGTAGATTTTTTAAAGACTATTTTTCAAGGCCTAGCCAAGGCGTAGATTTTTTAAAGACTATTTTTCAAGGCCTAGCCAAGGCGTAGATTTTTTAAAGACTATTTTTCAAGGGCCTAGCCAAGGCGTAGATTTTTTAAAGACTATTTTTCAAGGCCTAGCCAAGGCGTAGATTTTTTAAAGACTATTTTTCAAGGCCTAGCCAAGGCGTAGATTTTTTAAAGACTATTTTTCAAGGCCTAGCCAAGGCGTAGATTTTTTAAAGACTATTTTTCAAGGCCTAGCCAAGGCGTGGATTTTTTAAAGATTATTTTTGAAGGCCTATCCAAGGCGTGGATTTTATAAAGACTATTTTTCAAGGCCTATCCAATGCGTGGATTTTTTAAAGACTTTTTTTCAAGGCCTATCCAAGGCGTGGATTTTTTAAAGACTATTTTTTAAGGCCTATCCAAGGCGTGGATTTTATAAAGACTATTTTTCAAGGACTATCCAAGGCGTGGATTTTTTAAAGACTATTTTTCAAGGCCTATCTAAGGCGTGGATTTTTTAAAGACTATTTTTCAAGGCCTATCCAAGGCGTGGATTTTTTAAAGACTATTTTTCAAGGCCTATCCAAGGCGTGGATTTTTTAAAGACTATTTTTCAAGGCCTATCCAAGGCGTGGATTTTTTAAAGACTATTTTTTAAGGCCTATCCAAGGCGTGGATTTTTTAAAGACTATTTTTTAAGGCCTATCCAAGGCGTGGATTTTTTAAAGACTATTTTTTAAGGCCTATCCAAGGCGTGGATTTTTTAAAGACTATTTTTTAAGGCCTATCCAAGGCGTGGATTTTTTAAAGACTATTTTTTAAGGCCTATCCAAGGCGTGGATTTTTTAAAGACTATTTTTTAAGGCCTATCCAAGGCGTGGATTTTTTAAAGACTATTTTTTAAGGCCTATCCAAGGCGTGGATTTTTTAAAGACTATTTTTTAAGGCCTATCCAAGGCGTGGATTTTTTAAAGACTATTTTTTAAGGCCTATCCAAGGCGTGGATTTTTTAAAGACTATTTTTTAAGGCCTATCCAAGGCGTGGATTTTTTAAAGACTATTTTTTAAGGCCTATCCAAGGCGTGGATTTTTTAAAGACTATTTTTTAAGGCCTATCCAAGGCGTGGATTTTTTAAAGACTATTTTTTAAGGCCTATCCAAGGCGTGGATTTTTTAAGGATAATATTTTATAGAATATTTTTTCAAGGGTCACACAAGGTGTGGATTTTTTATAGAATATTTTTTCAATGGTCACACAAGGCGTGGATTTTTTATAGAATATTTTTTCAAGGGTCACACAAGGCGTGGATTTTTTATAGAATATTTTTTCAACGCATTAAATAGTTGTGTTTGTTTTTTAATATTTTTCAATACTCACCTTAACGATAGTATAACCGAAGAATATAACAATGCCTATGGTATACAATGGCATTAAAATGCCCACACTTTGATTGGCTTTCGCTTGTGGCTGATGCATTGCACCCGCACCCATGGGTGGACGCATGCCAGGTATTGGGCCAGGCTGAAATCAGACAAATAAAATAAGAAAATCAACATTAATAAATTTTGGCAAAAATAGATATGTACGTGTATAGATAAAACAATAACAAGATGATTCATGTCAATTTAGTTGTTGCTCATTTGCTAAAATCTTTTTTTTTTCAAATTTCAAATATATATAAATGCAAATCGGATTGTTTATCTTAAAAATACATATATATTTAATTATGTTTATATATATATATATAGACACGCGAAATTTAAATGGGTTAATATTTATTTGGATTTTGTATTTGTTTCTCTCTCTCTCAGTCATAAAAAAGAAAAAATGAAAAGTGTGAGAGAGTGAGACCATCATGGAATTCAAAATCGAATACGAAAACTGAATGGAAATATAATAAATTATTATTTAAGATTTTTTTCATAATTGCAATGAACTTTAGACATGGCCAAGGGCAGTGATTCGAACTGATAATCAATGTTCTTGAATTTTTTTAATATTCTCTATTGGTACGATTTTCACATAGTCTCAATATTTTATATTTTTTAATTCGAAATTTGGTATTTTGATATATAGCTGCCACCAGTTTATATTTTTTGAAGATGTGCACTTTTGAATATCGATTTTACGTTTTGTTTACATTGTGACGTTAGTAATATTTATGTGATGGGTGTTTTTTGACATCAGAATTCAGGACCATTAACGTAACGTAAAAATAAACAAGTGATTTGGATCTCTGGTCATAATTAAATATAAATAAATATTTGTTTAGATGACGGATAATAGAATGGCTCCATTAAAAAAGTAAAAAATGAAAACTGTATGAAATAAATTCTAACATTTAAATAGCAACTCTATATATTTAATATAAATCACTTTCAGTATAATTTTATTAGAAATTTTAAATTTTCCACACCATATTTTGTATACCCCATCTAATATACATCACGGGCGACCACACATTTTTTGGCAATATATTTTATCCACACCAGTCGCGCTATTTTTGGTATACACGTATTCAAGCCAATAACGGAACGAAAAGAAAATAAACGCTAGATAAAATAAAACAAGGCGAAGGAGAGATAGAAAAAATATTTTCACGGTCAGTGAAAATTATTAAAATATTCCAAAATGTGGCATTAAGTAAAAATGCAGATTTAGTTAGAGAATATCTTATTTTTCGAGGATCATGTTGGACGTCGAGTCGATTTTTTTTAAAGATTGGTTTCGGGGCCTAAAGGATGTGTGTATTTTTTTAGCGAAATAATATCTTTCTGGACCTAAAATAAGCGTGGATTTTTTAAAGAATATTTTTTCTAGGACCATAGTACGCCTGGATTTTTACAAGAAAATTTTTTCTAGACGTGGATTTTTTAAAGAATATTTTTTCTAGGTGGATTTTTAAAGAATATTTTGTCTAGGTCCATCGAAGGGGTTAATTTTAAAAGAATATTTTTTCTAGGCCCATCGAAGGTGTGGATTTTTTCAAGGAATATTTTTCTAGGCCCATGGAAGGCGTGGGTTTTTTAAAGAATATTTTTTCTAGGCATGGATTTTTTTTAATAATATTTTTCCTAGGCCTAAAATAGGCGTGGATTTTAGGGCCTAAAAATTCGTGGATTCTTTAAAGAATATTTTTCCTTGGCCTAAAATAGCTCTAAAATAGGCGTGGATTTTAAAGAAGATTTGTCCAAGGCCTAAATAGGCGTGGGTTTTTAGAGAAGATTTGTTCAAGGTCTAAAATAGGCGTGGGTTTTTAAAACAACAGATTTTCAAGCAGAGATTTCAGGCGGGGCGTTTTAAAGAACATATTTTAAAGATGAGATTTGAGGCGAGGTGTTTTAAAGAAAAAAAATTGAAGAAGGGATTTTAGGCGATGATTTTTAATTATGATTTTTCAATAAGGATTTTAGGCAAGGATTTTTAAGAAGAGTTTCCAAGGAGGGATTTTAGGCGAGGAATGTTAAAGAAAGGACTTTAGACTGTGATTTTTAAAGGACAGATTTTCAAGAAAGGATTTAGGTGGGATCAGATTTCCAAGAAAGTATTTAGGCGGGATTAAAAAAAGGTCTCAAGAGAACGTTTGTTCCATAGGCCGAACTTAAAAAATATTTCCAAGCACGTCGGTCTTGTGCACATCTCATCTAATTTGAAGAACCATATTCCGAGATGTTGTCTTCTACTTGATTTTTCATCGGATTCGTCGTCTTCCCCTTCTGCGTGAACCATAACTTGGCTCGTTTTTATATGCCATTATCCATTCACAAAACATGACCTAGCTAACGTAGTCGCTGCAGCTCGATCCGTCTGACTATGTCGATGTCCGAGAATAGATGGTATAGCTCATTCGACGATGGTATTCATCTTCCGGAGATTTTTTTTTCTCTCAAACACTCCAAGAGCTGCCTCATCTGTTTGCCTAAGTATCAATGCTTCAGATCCATACAAAAGTACAGGTAGTATTAGTGTCTTGTAGAATGTAGGTTTGGTCTGGCGAAAGGTGGCTTGGTTTCTGAATTGCTTACATAGACTAGAGTAGCATCTGTTGGCCAACACTATTCTCCTCCGGATTTCAAAGTTAATGTTATTTGTTTTGTTATGGCGGTAACGAGGAATATAAAATCGTTCACTACCTCGAAGGTGTAATTTTCAAGTTCTGCAGTTGGTTCGAGTCTACTGCACGTCTTGGCCGTTAATACCATCTGCTTGGCGTTCTCGCCATTTACTGCCAGTCCCACTTTGTCAGATTCCTTCTCAATTCGTGGCTGTTACCGCTCGCAATGTTCGACCCATTATGTCGATGTCGTCGGTGTAGTGGAGAAACATATGCTATTTGGTGTACAGAGTGTCATTTCGGTTTAATTTGTATCTCGTACGATCTTTTCCAGCAGGATGTTAAACAGGTCACACGACAAACTGTCACCTTGTCTGAATCCACGTTCGGTATTAAAGGGCTCCGAGAGTCCCTTTCCGACATTAACTGCTGACCTTCTGCCAGTTGAAGTTATCCTGTATAGCCGTATTAATTTTGCAGGAATGTCGAACGCAGACATGGCTTTAAAAACCTCTCTGAACAGATATGGCTGTCGAGTACGGCTTTATCGTCGACGAATAGGTGGTATGTGTTGATATGTTTTTCGTGTGTCTTTACAAGCCTTCGAAAAACGCGTATATACAAAAAAAACTTTTGAAGGGACGGAGATTTTCAAATATGACCTGGGTTTTCAAAGGAAAACATTTGAATAATTTTTCAAGGCCCAAAAAATTAATTGGCCTTAACTTATTTTCCAAAGACTTTAAGGTTGAGTTGCTTCCATATTTGCCGACTGTACTTTCTCTTCAACTGTTCCAATTCGGACTAAAGTTCGTGAACTTGTTCTTTGAAGTCATGTCCTTTATTTCAGTCTCTTTATCGTTTGCCTTTAGATCTCATTGAAAGTTTTCGTGCCCTGACAGTGATCTATTTTTTATGGTTAACTCTAGAATATTCAGATGACTTCGTGGTACCTTCTGCTTTATTGCTGCGTGCAATTAATTTAATCAACTGTGATCCTAAGAAACAACTTTCTTTCTTCTATTCTTATATATTTTTTATGAAACTATCTATAGAGGACATTTGGAGGGTTTATGGTGTGTCTGTAAAGGATTTTTAATCTATTGAAATTCTATCTTATTATATATGGCGGTGTATTTGATTTGTACTTACCCTTCCCTCAACAATACGTGGTGGTGGATTACTTGGCGATGTCTTGCGTTCCACAATCGGTATTGTCGGTGTGGCTGGTATGGCCCGGCCACGTTCACGCATTGCCTGATAAACTGAATCGGGATGCAAGTGGGCTGGACGTTCCTGGCGTATACCTATGGAAATGTAAAATACACATTTCAGTTAAAACTTGTTCACATAAATGCAAGAAAAACATGCAACAAGAAAAAAAATTCTTAACAAACGAAAGTGAAATTGAAAAAAAAACTAAAGCTGGTGTTAAAAAAATCATGCATTAAATTATAATAACAATAACAAAAAAACACAATGTTAATTGTATAAAGCAATTTGTTAAATAAAATTGTGTTGTTAGATAAAAATCAAATACCATAGCCATAAGTTTTAGTTTTTTTCTTGAGATTCGCAAATAATTCGCATTAGTCACGAAGAGAAAAAAAAATTGCCCAAGTGCATGAGTGATGCATTACCCCAGATTTAATTGAGTTTTCAGTTTAATTAACCGAATATAATGCATAAGAGAATGTGTAATGTTTTCAATGTTAGTCAAGGTCAGGTTTCATAAATATTTTCAAACTTTTTTTTAATTTTCCGAATATTTTTTTAACCAATATTAGTCACTGTAACTCCATGCTTAATTTTCAAACTCAATTTTTTTTTCATTTGCGATCATCATACTTATTTCACCAGTGTAAATATTCAAACTTTTACGATATAGCTGCGGTCCAAATATAACCGGCTCTTCGATGGCCGGTTTTTTAGTTTTCATTGAGGTAGCATTGAAAAATTCTTCCCTGTTGAGTACCACGTCACAACAACCTGTTGTTGTTTTTTCATTTATCATCGAAAATTTATATTTCCCAATATAACAACATCGATCACAACAGAATCACAACATAAAAAATAATAAACAAAATTATAAAGAAGAAATAAATAAATTATAAAAAATATATATTTTAAATACAATATGGAGAGGTTGAAGATGTTTGGTAGCTTGACTGGAAGACCTTTACATTGAAGACCAGAAAGATTTCGAATTAAATACTGATAGGATAGGTCGCAGCACGCAATGCGAGGGAGAATTATTGGGAGAAAATGAGAAACGTATTTTCAGAAAAAAAGGAGAAAGAACAAGAAAAACGTGAGCGTGAGCAAATCGATATTTATAGTAGGGATACGTAGTCGAGCGCAAAAGTCGACTTTTAGATTTTTGCCACAGACCAAAAAATAGATTTTTAGACTTTCAATCTTTCGACTTTGTCAAAAATGTCTAAAATTTGACTAAAAATTAAATCTTTTATATGAAATTTGTCATCAGATAAAATAAAGTTCTGGAATGTGCATTTTTGTGCAATTTGGGCTTGTGAGTATATTCCAAGCATTTATGAAGAAGAATCGAAACTCGATCTTGAAAAGTCAACTTTGCGATTTGCCCAAAGATCAAAAGTCAACATCGATTATTAGACTTTTCAAAAAGTCCATTAATCGATTAGTCGAAAGTCGATTTACTTAAGGCTTTGGTGCAGGCACATCCTCCTGTAGAGATGAAGATGGAAACCTGGTGACAGATAGCGTGTTGAGTATCTGGAATGAGCATTTTTCAAAGCTTCTGGTATCAAATAGTGGCTGTGAAGAAGATACCCCAAAACCAATAAGAGATGACGGTATAGATTGTACACCACCTAGCCATGTTGAGGTCAGAGTAGCACTTAATTGGCTGAAGAACCATAAAACAGTAGGTGCCGATGGATTACCAGCCGAACTATTCAAGACCGGTGGTCAGATGCTGGTCTGGAGCATGCACCAGGTGATTAGTACAATTATGCTCGAGGAATACATGACCAATGATTGGAACCTCAGCAACCTGTGTGCCGTGCCCAAAAAGGAGACAACTATAGGGGAATAAATCTCCTTCCCATCGCATATGAAGTGCTAGCCAGCGTACTGTGTGCAAGACTGAAGCCAATGGTCAATGACATTATTGGGCCATGCCAATACGGCTTCGGCCTGGCAAATCCACCATTGACCAGATTTTTACTCTGCGCCAAATCCTGGAAAAGACCCACGAAAAACACATCGACTATAGAGCCGCATTCGATAGCCTTATCCGTTCAGAGGTTAATGTCATGTCTGCGTTCGGTATTCCTGCAAAATTAATACCGCTATGCAGGATAACATTAAGTGGCACAAGGTCAGCAGTTAAAGTCGGAAAAGAACTCTCGGAGCCCTGCAATACCGAACGAGGATTCAGACAAGGTGACCGTTTGTCGTGTGACCTGTTTAGCATACTGCTGGAAAAGGTCATACGAGAGGCAAAGGTAGAAATGGCACACTGTATACCAAATAACACATGTTACTCGCCTACACCGATGACATCGACATAATGAGTCGAACTTTGCGAGCGGTAACAGCTACCTTTGAACAAATTTAGAAGTTGTCTGCTAAAGTAGGTCTGGCATTAAATTGCGAAAAGACCAAGCTGATGGTATCACTCGCAAGACGTCCAGTAGACTCGAGCTGTGGAACTTGAGAACTGCAGCTTCAAGGTAGTCAAATCTTTTATATATCTCGGTACCGCCATAAATAAAACTAATGACATCAGTTTTGAAATTCGGAGGAGAATAGCCAACGGCCGCCAGACCAAACTCACACTCTACAAGACGCTGATATTACCCGTGCTGTTGTATGGATCTGAAGCATGGGTACTTGCGCAAGCAGATGAGGCAGCTCTTGGTGTGTTTGAGAGAAAAATGCTACCGAATATCTATGGGCCGATCTGCGTTGACGATGAATATCGCCGGCGAATGAACCATGCGGATTTTTAATGCGTATTCTCAGTCATCGACATAGATATACTTATCGTGCTTCAGCGACTACGTTGGCTAGGCCATGTTGTGAGAATGGATGAGAATGCCCCAGCACAAAAGGCATATAAAAACGAGCCAACTTATGACTCACGCAGAAGGAGAAAGGCACGAAATAAATGGAAAGATCAGGAGGAAGAGAACATTTCGAAACATGGTCATTAAAATTGGAAGAGCTGCGCGCAAGAACGATGCGCCTGTAAATCTTTTTTAAGCTCCGCTTATGGAACAAATGTTCTGTCACAAGCCAGGTAAGAAAGCAAGTTTTTCTAGGTCACAGCATTCATTTTAGCCTCATCATGCTTTACCTTTAGATCTCTAACTGAGTGTACAATGACCGTAACCTGTAGTCTTTTGTTAGTCTTAACATCTTCAGGACACCTTCTACTTTGCTGTAAAGTTCGGTTAATTTTATCAATTGTGCTCCTAAGATTCGATTTTCTTTATCCTATCCTTGTAATCCATTTGTTTTTGTTAATATATCCGTTTGCGCTTTCTTCAATTATATGAATCAGATTAAATGATTTTCTTCCTGGAACTTACACATCGCTATTAGTTTCCTTTATTTCACTTTTCTTTTTTTATATTAAATTGGAGACACATACGGAGATTTATATTCCTTTATAAAGGAATATAAAAATCAAATGTTAGTTTGGGCGCCATTCTCCTTTAAGGACGTATTATGGAAGACCTACAGATCTCCTTCTTCCAATATTGCACCAAACACCTTTCCCAATATTGTAAAATTATATAAAAAAATTAAAAAAACTTACCTCCTGGACCACGATGGGGTTCCTTTATATTGGCCTTGGTGGTGGCTACAGCGCTGCCACCAAACATCATGGGATAGAAAACTTTCGGCCACAGAATGGCAATACAGCCAACAACCGTTACAATAATTAAAGCAGTTTTCTTGGAACTTAAGCCTTCATTGGCATACAGGGGATGTGATGGTTTCCTTTGCTGCTGTGATTGTTCCTGGCGTGTCGTCGCCATTCTTGCCGATGTTTGAGCATGCATAATTCTTGGGGTGTTTTATTTTAATTTTGACGTTTGTGTTCGTTAACAAATGGTTAGTGAGTTAGTTAATAGATTTCCGTTTCCGTAATATTAAGTTATTTTTCTTCTCTTTATTCTTAATTATTAATAATGGTTAATTTTACCGTTGTTTATTTAATAATCACTTGCATTATTATTAAGGTTTTTGGGTTTTGTTTTCTTGTCGTATTAATTTGTTGGTTTAATCAAATCTAGAAAAAAAAAACAAAAATATATAACATGATAATATGTGAAGGGATTAGTGGAATAAGAAAACAATAATTTCAATTTCATAGATATATAATGTTTACACGTTCTGTTTAAGTCCCGATTTGTGTAAACCTTGCAGAATACATTTGACTTAATATGTTTTTTTATATTCGACCATCTGCCAATATTTATCTATTAATATTTCTCATGGTTGGCAACATTGCACTTCGAATTAATTTAGAACCTATGCGTTTTGACAGTTAAGCGGATAGTCAGCTGTGCTAAATGGATCACAAAATCAAGATCGATCAAGGCAAACAATGAACCAAGAACTAATAAAAAAAAATAACCTTACATGGGAACGTCAGCAAACCGAATACGATGGCCATGCTTTGTGGAAGCCCTATGCTTGCAAAAGGAATAACAGGAAAAAAGACTCATCTGAGAAAAGTATTGTAACCAATAGGAAGGAATTTTTGAAACTCTAACAAGTCTAGTTGATTAAGAGAAATCTAATAAATAATAAGCCGAATTTTTATTACATTTTGGGCGCCACATATCTCATTTGGTAAAATTTCAAATATAACGCATAACGGAAAGGTCATTAGAATGTCATCTTTTATAAAAATTAGCGAAGATCTTTACAAACCTTCTTAAGGAATTATTTGGCTAATGTTGGGCGCCAGCTCCACCCCAAAGTGGAGTGTATATTAAATTATCATTTCCTTTGCAAAATTTCGATATATTAGTGATCAGAATAAAATTCTATGCCGATTCGCCGGTTGAAATCATGATACAACTCACAATATTGAAGCTAGAGCTATGCAACAGATAAGGCAAGCTTTTGGGCCCGTTTTCAACCTATTCGGGTGTAATCTAGTATTTTGGGTTGCTATAGGGTAATAAGTCTTTATTGGTGCAGGCATTTCCTCCCGTATAGATGAAAATTGAAACCTGTTAACAGATACAGATAGCGTATTAAGGATCTGGAAGGAACAATTTGCAAATCTTCTGATATCAAATACTGGCGGTGAAGAATATACCCCAGAGCCAATAAAAGATGACGGTATAGAGTGTACACCACCTAGCCAAGATGAGGTCAAAATAGCAATCAATCGCTTGAAGAATAATAAAGCAGCAGGTGCCGATAGATTAGAAGCATGCACAAGCTGATTAGTACAAATCCACTTGACCAGATTTTCACTCTGCGCCAGATCATGGAAAATACCGGGACACATTTCCACATTTGACACATTTCACCCATTCGTCGACTTTAGAGCCGCCTTCGACATCCCTATCCGTTCAGAGGTATTTAAAGTAAGGTCTGCGTTCGACATTCCTGAAAAATCAATACGGCTATGCAGGATAACTTTAAGAGGCACAAGGTCACCAGTTCAAGTCGGAAAGGACCTATCGGAGCCCTTCAATACCGAACGAGGATTCAGACAAGGTGACAGTTTGTCGTGTGACCAGTTTAACATCCTGCTGGAAAAGGTCATACGAGACGCAAAGGTGAACAGAAATGACGCTCTGTACACCAAACAGCATATGTTACTCGCCAATGCCGATGACATCGATGGACCGAATATTGCGAGCGGTAAAAGCCACTTTTGAACGAATTTAGAAGGAGTCTGCCAAAATGGCACATCGACCCATTTCACCCATTCGTCGACTATAAAGTCGCGTTCGACAACCCTATCCATTCAGAGGTGTTTAAAGCCATATCTGCATTCTTGCGAAAATAATACGGCTATAAAGGATAACTTTAACTGGCACAAAGTCAGCAGTTAAAGTCGGAAAGGACCAATCGGAGCCCTTCAATACCGAACGAGGATTCAGACAAGGTGACAGTTTGTCGCGTGACCTGTTTAACATCCTGCTGGACAAGATCATACGAGACGCAAAGGTGAACAGAAATGACGCTCTGTACACCAAACAGCATATGTTACTCACCAATGCCGATGACATCGGTGGACCGAATATTGCGAGCCACCTTTGAAAAAATTGAGAAGGAGTCTGCCAAAGTGGCACTGGCAGTAAATGGCGAAAAGACCAAGCTGATGGTATCAATGCGGAAGACGTCCAGTAGACTCAGACCAACTGTGGATCTTGAAAACTACAGCTTCAAGGTAGAGAACGAGTTGTGTATACCTCGGTACCGCCATAAACAAAACAAGTAACATCAGCTTTGAAATCCGGAGGAGAATAATGTTGGCCAACAGATGCTACTATGGTCTGAGTAAGCAACTCAAAGGCAAGGCCACCTCTAGCCTGACCAAACTCACACTCTACAAGACGCCGATACTGCCCGTGCTGTTGCATGGATCTGAAGCATGGGTACTTGGGCAAGCAGATGAGATGAGCTCTTGGAATGTTTGAGAGAAAAGTTCTCCGAAAGATAGCCGATCTGCTTCGATGGTGAATATCGTCGTCGAATGAACCATGAGTTGTACTATCAATTCTCAGACATGTTGGCTAGGCCATGTTCTAAGAATGTATGATGATGCCCGGCTCAAAAGGCATAGAAAGGCGAGTCAAGTGATGGTTCACGCAGAAGGGGAAGGCCACGAATTCGATGGAAAGATCGAGTAGAAGACAACATCTCGGAATAGGTCTTTCATCGCACAAAACCAACGCGCTTGGAAATCTTTTTAAGCTCGGCTTATGAAACAACCGTTCTGTAACAAGCCAACTAAGTAAAGTAAGTAAAATAAGCGAAATACTATTATGTTTAGGTAGTGGAACTTGGAGCTACATAGTTCTTAAATGTATTTCCATTAAATTTTAAGTCATGTAATGAAAATATATTCCGCAAGGATAATGGATTACGTTGATTGAATAAATAAAACATAAATCACAATTTTCACAAGATTATCACATGTTGGGCGCCATTTATAACGTTCGTATTTTATTTAGACATTGTTTGGTAATAAAGGCCAGTAAATATCTTAATTTAGAGGTAAACTATTTTGATAATCAACATCGAATCGTTATTATATTGGTTATTCACATCACAATTCAAAAATTAAAACACCCAAATAAATTTCAAATGCCTTGCATTCCATTAGGTGTTAATATTAAAAAATTATTTTCATATTTTTCCACCGATTTTCACTTATTATTGAATTATATTTTTAGAACATGTCTGCTCTAAATATTTGTAATTTCACAAGTTGACATATTCATTCATTTCGGCTGTTTAAGGTACCGCTGCAAACATATTTCCGACGTTCGTTCACATCAACCCTTGGACATTTTTTTGATATTTTCGAAACAGTTGGCTGAACGTAATTTACGTCTGGTTCATAATTTAGTACACCACATATTTAGACGCCACAATAGAACTTATGTTGCAATTATCACTCAAAAAAAAAAACCGAAACTTTACAATTTACAAGACATTACAGGTTTATGGTGTTATTTTTTATTTAATTGCAAAAAAACACATTTTTATCTGCAAAGCACAACATTCGATATGTTTTCTTAAAAAACCGCACAAACATAAGGATATTGAAGACAGTGGATCTTTGATACTCTGACTATTTAATTTTTATATTTATTACTAAATTTTAATGTTTAATATTATTAATTTGATTTGATTAATATTTTTAATTTGATTCAATATTTTTATGATAAATATTTTTAAAATAAAACCCCGTTCATGTCAACGACTATCCACTGTACACTTTTATATGTGGCCAATGATCACATGAAAATATTCAATAGCTATATGTACGAATATGTTTTATTTTTTCTTGGGAATAGTGAAAAAATATTATTACATAAATAGATGTCTGTCGTATAGAAAACTGTTTATTTTTAGAAAAATATATTTTTTTAAATATTTTTGTTTTTTTTCTTCAATATATTATTGATGTTTATTTGTTTTGCATCAATTGCAATTAATTTCCAAAATTTATTTTCTGCTGCACAGACACACGCGATTATTTCAAATATTTATTATAAATTTTCACAATTTGATCTTCGTAATTTTCTCATATATATTTAGTTTTTCTCGTCTTTTATATTATATTATATAGATTAATAATTTTGCATTGAATTGAAACGAAATCTTACGCAAAACATTTTTTGCATTTCAAAAAACCGTTCGTAGTGGCCAAGGCAAGCGAATTTTAGCAACTACGGTTATCTCTTAAAAATTTAAGACTCTGTGTCCATCTCTATGCGTCCCAGCCACGTTCGGCCATTAAGCGAACTAGCCAGCCGGCCACACACTCATCGACGACAGCTACCAAAATCAACAACAACAATCTAACAAGAAAATATGTATTTTTATTCGCCTTCATAACGACGACGACGATCATCATCAACAAACAAGAAATTCGTCCACATCATCTTCGTAGCCGCTGAGGTAATTTGGAAAGCCCATAGAACCGTGAAAATTTTCATTTCATCTCAAATTTGTTTTTGGGTAGACACACAGTGTTTTTGAGGTATTATGAAAATATAAATATAATATAAAATACGTTTACCAGATTTCGTTAAGCCAGTGGGTTTATAAAGTAGCTTTATAAGAATTTATTTGAATTTAAAGATGCTGGTGCTAACCGAACTATTCAAGAATCAGATGCTGGTCAGAAGCTGATCAGTACAATTTGGCTAGAGGAATGCCTGCCCAATGGAACCTGTGTCCCGTGCACAAAAAAGTGGACAAGACGATATGTGCCAACTATAGAGGAATAAGTTTCCTTCCCATCGCATATAAAGTGCTATACAGCGTGCTGTGT